ACTCTTCAGTCCTGGCCAGTGACAGCTTTTATTTCTTCAATACTTAAGAGTTAGGTTATTCTTGTAAAACTCTTTGTGGATTGAACATCTAAGGCTTTTTACCTAGATTGTCTTTAGGTTCCTTTATGCATTTATATCATACAGGAAAAATTATTTTATGTAAAAATATTGGCTAAGTATGAAAAATGGTTTTTCGGAATAATCATTTTCTCAATATAATTTTTGGTGGCTTTTCTTCCCTACACATCAAATAAGAAACTTGATTTTATGGGATTTTAGTGTGGAGTATATATTGACTTCATGAGCTATCATTTTAGCCTAAATCGTATTTTGCACTAAAACTGATTTTTCATATTTTGATTTGGTGGGAATTTGATTTTCTAGTATTTTTATTTGAATCCAAATGGGGGGTACTTCATTATTTACATTGTAAACTTAAGTAAATGGAGTAATATAAAAATAAATGAAAGTGAAAGGACAAAGACATTTACTTAAATGCTAAAAATAAATCAACAACGCAGTGTAGCACATCAGCAGACTGAGTTCATTTAGGCTTTTCGTCTAACACCTAGAGTGCACCTCCCAAGCTGAGCAAATATGCAATATGCAACACCTATAATGGTTTTTTTAGTAAGGGGAGGTGCAGATGCACCTCCTTGCACCTTAATAGGTCTAGCACTGATGACATTACAGTTTTTATGTGTAAAGGTTTTATAAAAAGGGAGATTCACTATTATACCCAATATAGGAGCCCAAATTATAAAATAAAAAAACCTTACATGAAATGGAATTTAGAAACACACCCAAATTTCATTTACAACATAACAAAGAGGCTTCGAACTTCCTATAAATTACAAAACTGCCATCGATTTGTTAAAACAAGCATAACCCCAAAACCTCACAAAAAAAATCAAAAACACTCAAAAGGACATCAAAGTAATTTAATAATCAAAATTAAATTTAATAGGACTAACTGCCATTTTTTTGGGTCTTTTTGAGTTTGTTTATAAAAATTAAATAATGTAGGGTTTATCTATATCACTAGTGTTAAGAATGGATATATAACTAAATATCTCTTTATATAAAATATCTATTGCCAGAGTTCCTATTTGACACTTAATCAAGAGTTGTGTCTTTTGAGTCAGTTCCATGGTGTATCTTATTTCTTGGCCTATCTCTTCTAGCTAGGCCTTAAATGGGTACTAAGATGTATATTAGGGTTCAATTATTAAACAGCTTCCTACGAACTTGCATTACATCTAATTATGTAAACAAATAATAGAGTATAACAAAATTTAGATAATTTTTCGAAGTTCCAAATAAGTAATTATCTATATATGTAAAGCAAAAGACAAAGAATAGTAAAACATTCAAAATACCAGAAAATGCTATTGGTTAATTCAAACATTAAGAATTTAAATTATTAATTAAATGAGGATAATATGGTAAATTCACATTTTTCAAATTAAAAAATTTATAAAAAAAACAAATTATAGGTCCTACTTTTATGGAACATAACTACCCATATTATCTTTTTTTTTAATTCTAAAAAGAAAAGAAAAAAGAAAAAAGAAAACCAATTGGCACATGCGTGAGCACTTGAAGGAAACATGCATCTAATGCTTAGGAAATGAACTTTAGTCACAACCTATACAACAAAAACATTCTAAATTGCAGATTCATTTTGTTTATACTAGTTGAGCTAAACCTTTTTCATTTTAAACCAAGTATCTTAGCCTAGTCTTTTTGAACACAAATAGAAAAAGAAAAAAGGGAATAGATCTTTACTCTTGATGACTTTTTCTTGATTTCTCAAGAATGAACACCTTTGTTGGAAAGACCTTTTGTTTCTCTTGATTTTGACTCATTCACCTTAAGGCTCCAAGATTGAAGTCCTCTACCTCACCACACCAAATACTCCTAGAGATGAAGAGAAAGCAATCAAGAAATATGGATGCTAGTCTACTTCTTGATTGGACCAATTTTTGGTTTATGGAAGATGAGACAAAGATGATCACTCATCAACCAAAGTAGGAAACCAAAAACCCTAGCTAGTTTTCTCCAACACTGAGCTTATATAGGACAACACAAAAGGCAATTGGGTGGGTATTTGGGGCTCCATTTGGTCCATGGGTCATGTCATTTTATGCCCCTTATCCCCTGGGCCCAATAGCCTTTTGGGCTATTTTGTCCATTTCATTTTAAATCATATTTAAAAGCTCAATCTAATATTTCTATATGTCATATTAATTCCATAATTAATATTTTAATTATAATTTAACTATTAAATTATAATTATAGTCTTACTTAATTGATCCGGTCGAACTATTTGACTTTGGCCAATTGCTCCGATCAACATGTTCACTTTTGACCATTGACTTTGACATTTGATTATCAACCATTGACTTGTATCTCATCATTTCATTTTTCCTCATTTGTACCTCGAATCACATTCTTTAGGTCTGCAGATCTGTACGTTCTCTTTAGCAAGGTAGTGGGTTGACTCAACTCCTCAGAGATGATATACGAATTAAATTTCACAATTAAATTCTTCTTATTAATAAAGGTTAATTGAAACCTTTTAGGACATCCACAAACCATGGTTGTCGCCTACCAACAAGTCACAGTTATCCAAGCTAAATGAGACGTTGTGAAAGAACCTATTCAAATTGGAATGACCATGCAATTGAATCTTTCTCTTATGTCAATACTCTTTATTCACATTATTAGATCATGAAATCCGATTGTCAATATCCTAGTGTGAATAATTCCTTTTATATGATTATCCTAGTAAGATTTGAAGGCCTCTTCTTTCAAGTCTTATCCACTACTCTACACAGAGATTTGACCAATCATATCTTGGAGTATTATCTCTCCTTTACTGAGAGTAGAGATTCATTGTTGTACATTCATTTGCTTTCATGACTCTATTGAGAATCCTTATGAGCATCTTTAAGCTATGCTTAATTCAGTATGACCGTATAATACTCTCAAAGTTTAACAACATAACCACAAAACATCTATGATGCCTCAGGTCTAAAGATTAGTTTGCACCATTGCAATTTATGAATTCCAGCTTGACATGTCAGTAAAGACTTCCAAGCTGTAACTCATGTGTTGGATCACGTTCAGTGTACTTGTTCTTTTACAAGCACCTACACACATATTGATGTGTCTCCACACTTAATGACCTGAGACTTTGTCATTCCCTACATATAGAGACAATACTATGTGTACTGGTCTTTGCGGAATATTGATGCCCAATCAATATTCCTATGACCATGAACATATTCATGATTTAGGGATAATGAAAAGTCTCCATGTGTGCAATCTCATTACATAGCTCTCAACTATGGTTGTTCTACATATTGAAAGATAATATATGATGATTTAATGTATAAAACAATCTTTCTTGCCCATTGATAACATAATGTCTTTTATAAAAGATGTCCTTACATCTAACTATTATGTAATTAGTTGGCTTTAATGACATATTTCTAACTTGAGCATGTGCCAAGGGGCTAATATAATATATGTATGGTAATATATTTCTTCTCTCTCTCTCTTCCCCCCACCCTCAGCAACTCCTACCCCAGTAACGATTCCCTCCTCCACCTCGTTCACACTCCACAATTCCCTCTTGTTATTGATTTGACAATAAATTAAATTAAAATAAAGTAAAATAAAAAATAAAATAAAAACCCAACTGCAGCATAGTGAATAACTCAACTTCATATAATTAAAGGAATTATAAAAACAAAAACAAAAATAAAAAATGTCTAGAATCTAGATTGTGAAACACATCCAGCAACCTCCCTTTTCTTTTTTTTTTCTTTTTTTTTTTTTTATCGTTAAATGATCCAATAGCACCTCCAATCTTGAGTTTGTGGGATGTTATTCCCTTCAAAATCCTGTTTTGTCAATATTGTTGAGTGCAAAAGGGACTAAAATTTACGTTTGTGTTTTATGTGGCCTTCTAGTTGATAAGGACGGAAGCCCTATTCATCTATAAGGTAGCAATTGAGGAACCCAGGAATGGATGCCCTTCTTTTGTTGGTCATACTCATACATGAGTAACATTGGGGTGGAGTTGCGTCATGTCGGAGTGAGCGAGAGAGATGAGTGGTGATGGGGTTAGGTTTGGAGGTGATGGGAGGAAGGGGGAAGGATCGGCGGTCATGGTGATTGGGACTTCGAGATAGTTTTTTTATATATATAAAATGTTATTTATTTATATTATTTAAATTTATTTTTTGGTTTAAAATTCTTTAAATGATTTTAAAGTAAAAATTTAAGTATAGTTATAGCATTGGACGCATGTCAAGTTTTGATAATGGTCCTTGAAAGTCATTTTATAAAAGGATAAATTTATCTTTAAAATTTTGAAAATAAGGTGGGCGAGGAAATAGCAGCACTCTTGTTGAACCGGGTTATCACGGTGGTTGTGGCCCTCCCTCTTCCCCCTGCTTGGCACCCAAGCTTTTTTCCTCCTAATGTAACAAAAAAATGCAATTAAGTTTTTTCCTTCATGATTATCGTGCTCCTCGCCAAAACATGAAATGAGCTTTATTATATACAATGAGAATGCTTCAGAATTTTTGGGTTTGGATCAACTCACCATGGGGTGCAAATCAATGCCCACTAAATTTGGATCAAACTCACCCTTACTAGATAACTAGTTTCTTTCTAATATTTGGTTGAGAGAGAGAGAGGGAGCCAAAAGCAAAGAGGAGAGATATTTAAGGCTCTTCTTGTAGCGTTTTATAATTTTCAAGATTTGAGAATGTGGGATCCAAGTCTTTACATTTAGCATCGGTGCATTTACATACATTTAAGACAATCTTAACCGTTTAATTGATCCAATGTAATTTTTTATTTTGGTGAAATGGGGGGGGATTAACACCTAAACACACAAAAACTAAATGACAGGGACAATACGAGTTCTAGAAACTCTTAAAAAATCATCATCAAAGGTAGCCTCAACCCAGCTAGGAATCTCATCAAGCACCACAAACCCCCAAATCAAAATTATAGCTCCCCTTCGCTAAACAGTCAGCCGCTCTATTTTTCTCCCTATAGATGTGGTTAATCACACAATTACCCACTTGTCGCATAAGAGCATAGCAACTGGACAACAAAGATGCCATCAGATGTAGAACAAAGAGGGAAGATTTTTGGAAAAGTAGGACTGCAGTCACAGAGTCCATTTCAATACACAAATTTGAGATGTCCCTTTGGATAGCAAGTTTCAAACCAAAGAACAACCCCCATATTTCAACTGCTAAGATGTCACCACTCCCCAGATTAGCCACAAAACTACCAATCCAATTCCCTATGTCATCGCAGATTACTCTTCCAGCACCAGTGACTCTAGACGCACATTTGGACGACCCTTCAACATTAAGCTTGAACTGACTAGTATCAGGACGATCCCAAACAAGAAAAATTTGAGTTATGTTAATCAGCATACGAACAGCAGAACTAGCCTTCATCCATTCCTGAGTAGCAGTAAAAATAATCTTTCTAATATCAAAAGTCAAATCCTCTTCTTCACCAAACACTCTCTTATTGCCCCATTTCCAGATATACCAAACCCCAATGGAAATTAATTATTCCACCTCATCATAATTGTATTATATTAAAACTCTCCTTTTGCACTGTATCACTTATCCATCTCTTCCTCTCTCCTGCGGCCTTTCCGCCTTCTCTCCCATACTTGTATCATTTTCATAATTATCAAAACCTGCAATTTGATTCCAAAACTGATACTAATTCGGTATGTCTCATACAAATAAATTATATTTTTTAATGTATTAATTTTGTAAATTATGGACACTATTGCTTCTTGAATTGCATATCGCTCTCAACACTTTGTCTTGGTAAATTTTTTTCCTTTTTAAAAATCTAAATAAAGATGATATGGTGTACGTAAAAATTCATTATTTCTATTTTGTTAGAGCAGTTCTTAATGGAAAGGATTCTTTGGTCTAATCTCAAGCTTCAAGCTTTCATTCTTTTTTAAATAATAATAATAATCCTTTGGTTTCAGTTTGCGTGTTGGGTTTATATTTGTACCCAATTCGTCTCTTGCTTGATCTTCATGAGAGATCCAAAATAGTTTATTTTTTCAATTTCCTATGCTGTTAGTGCTGACACAAAACACAATCGGAATGAAATCATGGCTTTTGTAATTTGACTTAAATCTGATATGTGATTGGTTCTCATAAAAAGAAAATCCTACTAGGTAGAGATTGAAGATGTTATAGTTCATGGTGGGTATTTTTTTAATTTTGTTATTTTGTTATTGAAAGGTGAACAATGATAGGAGAGGATTTTATCCAATAAGAATAAGGTGCATTATAGATTTAGTCTAAATACAATTAAAACTCATTAGATTAATTTAAGGGTTAAGATTGTTTTAAATGCAGATAAATACACTGATACTAAATATAGAGGCTCAGAATCCGAGAATGTATTTACTAGTTTAAACCGAGAACAATATTCTACAAACTAAAAACAGTAAAAATGTTTATGATACCCGTATTTGAAAATGAGAAAACAATAAAATATGCATTTGGTAGCAATGTGGTGGTGACAATGGATAAGGATTGTTTGCCCCTGATGATTTTGTGAAAGGATTGTCATACCAAAAGATGGGATGTATGCTGAAAATAGTAATGGAAAAATTGATTCCAATTTTGGGAAACTTGATAATTGTCTCTTGTAATTATGAGGTTAGGACCTCTAGTCATATGGCTTAGGTGAGATTGAGAAGGGTAAGTCGAAATTAACATTTTCATACCAAAACTACCCTTACGTTGTTTTCTCATAATACATAAATGCCTTTTATCTAGTGGCTAGTGCAAAACTATCTCGTTTCTTAAATAACTCCTACTAAGGACGGACTCAAGATTTGAAAATAGGATGGACTAAATTTACCTTACATACAAACCTAGAAAACTTGATGATATGAGTGAATTTCATTCAAGTATGAATTTTAAGGTCACTTACCAATTACATGATAAATTGCTCCATGAAAGGAAAAGAATTGAAAGCATTTATTATCTATTACAAAAGAAGAAGAAAATAAAAATGAACCATTTTAATCCATCCAAGCCAACTTGGAACATAAAAATGAAAAGAAGTAGCCAAAATTTATAAGAAAAAAAAAATTGAATTGACGTTTTATGTACACTAGAAAATGTAAAGTTTTTTTTTCTCTCTCTAGGAATTTGTGTTTTCTGAAAAAGGCTGAGTATTAAATATTAATGTGGGGTTAGTTTTTATTTTACTTACTGCCACACTTATGGGATTAGTTAACTGAAGAAAAAAGAAAAAGAGAAGAGATTATCTGTGGGTGGGATAACTGGGATGGGGTGTGTGGAGGTGTGCTTTGGTGGGCTGAATATTAATATTGGACTATAATATATCAAGTCGTTCGGGCTATAGCCCATGTTAGTATGGACATAAGACCGTCCCTGTCTCATACAACAAACTTTTAATTATTTTATTTCTAAAGATGTCTTTTTTTTCTTCTCTTTTTTTATTTTGCTAGAGAAGGAAAATAAATATATTGTGTAAAAAAAATCATTAAGAATATAGTGTAAACGAGCAATTAGAAATATGAAATTTTTTGCAAAATATTGTAGTGGGTTTATCATTGCAAAAATAATTGTTGGAACTTAAAATATTTCAATAATAAGTAGTTGAATAAAAATGTTTAGGCCATTTAGTAATCAAATTGATTTCAATTATAATTTCTTTTTATTTTGATTTTTTTCTCATCATGATTTCGAAGCTAAATATGGCAGTTTAATGTTCTATCGATAGACTTGAGACATGATGTGGGTCAATATATTTAAGGTGATATGTGTGCCCCAAGTATAAGTTTAGGAACATAATTATCGAATTACTACTATTGTTTCACTGTGGATATGAGACGCACTGTAATTCTCAACGAACTTGCCACACTATACGTGTCTTGTGTCTGAATCTTTGTAGATATTGTAATGAGATCATTTACTATTGGTGGGAATTATAGTATACAAGATCATCTTCGATACATTATAATTTAAAAGTTTGTTAAGATTCAAAAGTTTGTCCGTTATTTTAGTTAGAAAGAAAAAAACCATATCACATGCTTCAGATACATAGTCGAAGTATAATTTTGGATCACCCTCTTAGACCATCTCCAACCATGTTGGGGCTAAACTCAAATTTCCATCCTAAAAAATACAACTATTCATGCATTTTCAAGACTCAAATTTTTTTTCCTCCAACCTTGTAGACTCATAATTTGAGTCAACAACTTTATTAAACTGTTTAAGAATGATTAACCCATAATTTTTTTTTGTCGTTAATTTTTCTTGACATTATTTTTGTTTCAACATTTATGATTTAATTTTGTAAACATTTTGACCTAAAAAAATTAAAATTCCAAAGCATAATAGAATTTCACTTAAAAATAAAAACAAGTACAACCCAGCTTTTGCAATAAATTAAAAAACCACCCAGCTTTTTTCAACCGTTAGATTCCAACGTCTTTCTTTCCTGAAGCTGCCATGTGTCTTTCTCCTCTTCACATGGGTTGCAAAACAGAGCTTTGGGCTTCACACAAATTACCAGTCCAGGCAAAACTTAGATTGGAATTCCACCATAAATTTCACCTTTCTCAAATTTCCACCCCTCAAAATACATGAGTTGGAGAAGAATTTTGGACTAAAAACTGAAAATTTGGGTTTCCACCCCAATGATTGGAGATGGTCTTAGGGTAGGGAACAATATAATACAATTCAGCTGAAGTTTTCTTTTGTATCTAGGAAGATAAAGTAGGTTTACCAAGATGCGGCAAATACCATAAAACTTTGGGTAAAAAGGAAAGAAAAAGGACATATATAAATTTGTAAGAACCAGACATGAAGCCAAGCCAATCATGAAATTGATGAATGATGAAGTTGCTTTGTATAGCCAGTAAGTAAAATTAAAACGCAGCCAAAAAATACAGCAGAGCAGAAGAGTGACGTGGTGAACCAAATCCGAGAGCTCACCAAACACAGTGTGCCTCGTCGTATCATATATAAATACCAAGAGGAACATCGTCTCCTTTCCTCCGATCTCTCTCTCCGGTCACTCGCTTAGGGTTTTTGCACCCTCTCTCCAGCTGAGAGTTTAGGGTTTTGAGCTAAAGCTGGGCTTCTATCCCTCTCCCAGGGTTCACATTCAAATCTGGTTTCAGCTATACAAACTCCGTTCAATTCAAATTTTCTATCTTCCAGGTTCTGGTATTTATTTTGTTATGATTCCTCAGCTATTCAAAATATGTAATTGCATATGTAGCTTAGAATTGGGAGTGTTTGGCTGTTTAGAGATTTGAGACCAAAAAGAATAACTTGCCGGGCTGCTTTAGGGTTTTTATCAGTTCGTAGAGGGAATTTGAAAGGGACGTAGAATTGGTTGTTTCTGGTTGTGGTTGATTGTCTGGTGTGCTTGAGAATCAACTTAGCTATGGCTTCATATAGGCCGTTCCCTCCCCAATCGTCATTCGGGCCGCCGCCAAATCAAAACCCTCTTACACCAACACCACCGCCACCTCCTCCACAGAGAGGCAATCAATATAATCAGAATTGGGGTTACAATTACAATCATAGTAATTACGGCCCTCCAAGAACTCAACACCCTCAACCACAACCACAATACAATTATCCACCACTGCCTCCGCCTCCTGAGTCTTCGTACCCACCACCTCCGCCCCCTCAAGCTCCTCCAGTGGCACAAAATAAAATGCCTTTACAGGCTCCACAAGCCCCCATGTACTACCAGAATTCTCAGTATTCACAATATAGTCACCAACCAATCCAGCCTTTACAGCAGCCACCGCCTCCGCCCCCACCACCTTTTTCCCCGAGTTCCTCTGCCCCACCGCCACCACCACCCCCGGGTTCACCGCCACCACCCCCTCCACAAAGTAAGGATGGTGGGGTAGATAGAGGTTCCCATGAAAAAGGGGCTTCCAGGGAGGTATCGGTGTCAGGGAGGGGTGAACATGGGCATTTGAATCATGGGGTTCCTCAAAAACAGCATAAGCCCCCTGTTCCTTCAATGCAAGTGAAGAAAGCGAATGGGCCTCCAGGGAGAGTGGAGACAGAGGAAGAGAGGAGATTGAGAAAGAAGAGGGAATTTGAGAAGCAAAGGCAAGAAGAGAAGCATAGGCAGCAGCTAAAGGATTCCCAACATTCAGTTTTGCAAAAGACACAGATGTTATCTTCTGGGAAAGGACATGGGTCTATTGTGGGGTCACGAATGGGGGAAAGGAGGGCTACTCCATTCTTGAGCGGCGAGAGGACTGAAAATAGGCTGAAGAAGCCAACAACATTTGTATGCAAGTTGAAGTGAGTATGTTAACAATGACTTACCTTTGTTTGAAGAACACATTTTGCTTTGTTTTAATTGAAATTAATCTTTTCCTGTTTTGATGGAAACTGACTATGTGATA